CTCCTCCTCCTCCTTGTCCACCTCCTCTTCCTCCTCCTCCTCCTCCGCCTCCTCCTTCTCGTCCTCCTCGTCCTCCTCGTCTTCCTCTTACTTGTGTTCCTTTCCCTACTCCTGCTCATACTCCTACTCTTCCTTGTCCTTCTCCTCCTGCTCCTCCTCCCCCTCCTCCTTCTACTCCTGCTCTTACTCCATCATTTCCCGACTGCTACGTATTCTTACTCCTCCTCATCCTTCTCCTCCTCCTCCTTCTTCTGCTCGGCCTCTTCCTCCTCCTCCTCCTCCTCCTCCTCCTCCTCGTCCTCCTCGTCCTCCTCGTCCTCCTCGTCCTCCTCCTGGTTTCCCTCCTTCTCCTCCTCCTCGTCCTCCTCTTCCTCCTCATCCTCCTCCTTCCTCCTCCTCCTCCTCCTCCTCCCGCTTCCCTGGCGGGAGGCTGCGGAAGGAAATCGAGGGCGCCTCCGCTCGCGGAGGTTGGCGGAAGTTAAGGGTGTGCCTCCGAGAGACGATGACCTTTTGGGCGCCAGGGTTCCCAGAACTAGCCACACGGGGTGTTCCAGAAAGGGCCTCGCCTTCGAGGACCGAAAGAGTGGGCGAATCTCTTCCCTGGCGAAGGCGCCAGAGATTCGCGACAACCCAGGGTACAGTCAGACCGAGGTATACGTAAGATCGAGGTCGGCTCGGGGAGGGTGCACTTGTGTTTTTTCGTGCTTGTTGCATGTTCTTGTGCATCCTGCGGGAGGATACCCTTGGATGTTCTGTCAGTTTTGGCCGGCGTCGGGTCTCATGATTTAGAAGGATGTTATTATGTACTAGCTCCGACTGTCTGGTTACGCCAGGGTGTGGCTTGCGATCGGCACCGTGGGGGCCTGCGGGGCACGACGTTGTCCTCGTCGGGCCCTCCGGGGCGCGGCGGAGAGCTCTGTCGAGGTCCCCGCGCCCCCCAGTTTGCCTCCCTGGGTGCCAGTCGCAAACAACACCTTTCGGAGCCGCTGAGAATTGACAACGTTTGTTGGCCCAGGGGTTTCGGAACTAGCCATGCAGGGCGTTCCAGGCAGGGCCTCACCTTCGAGGGCCGAGGGAGTTGACATCTCTTCATCGGCTCGCGAATAAGTTGCGAGGAAGTCTAAGGCGAAACTGCTGCCATTTCAGGCGGTCGAGGGCTCCCCGCCCCCTTGTGGAACTCTTTCGTTTTTAACCGCGATTCGGGACTCTTCTGTGTTTCTTTGTTTACGATTACGGAATCAGCGCAATGGGCACGGATGAGTGTGAGGTGTAGGATGTCAGATATGACGCGAGCGCATATAGCTTGCCTCATCTCCCTTCTCTCTCTTCTGTCATCTCTTCTCTTTGTCGCACTCACTACTGTTGATTTCCATTTCTCTCTCTCTATATATACATATGTGTGTACACATGATCCTTAGCGGCAGCGTTACTATAGCGGTGGTATGAGTAGATTTACCACCAGATTGGAGGGCACACAAACACAATGACGTTGAGTTGGGTAATTTCCCCATTACCATTTGGAAGAGAACTAGTTTGAGGGAGAAGACGGACGGCGGCATGCCATCCATGTTATATTTGGTGGTGTGATCAAAGGGAGAAACTGAATTGTGTTATTGTTTCTCGTCCTCTTCTCCGCGCGGTATTCGCGTGCGTACTTGAGAGTCGACCGTCCTCCTGAGTTCAGCGCAGTAACACAATGATATCTCGGGATGACATGTCAAGCCCTGTTCCGATTAGAAAATGTAGTACTCACCTGACTCCTTCTACGTTGCGCGACGGCCTCGTGAGAGTTTAAGAAAATTGAAGATGGTCTAAGATGTTTGACGTCACCACCGATGCCGTCATCGTCATCGTTGCCACTGTTGTTGTTGAAGTCGTTTTCCTCGCCCTCGACGTCATCGCCGACGCGCCAGCGTCGTCAACGTCGTCGATGTCGTCCCCCTCGCCCTCGGTATCGCCGCCACCGCCGGCGACGCCGTCGGCGTCGTCCTGGCCGCCCTCCTGGCACCCGACGCCGACGACGTCGCCGTCGCTGTCGAAGTCGTCGGCGAAGTCCTCGCCTCGCCGACGTCGTCGTGGAAGGGCTTCGGCGACGTCGCCGCCGCCCGAGGCGCGCACGGACGCGACCCTGGCCGACCTGGTGGACTCGGTGTTGCAGTCGATGCACGTTGCGTCCGTGCGGGCCAGGCGCGGATCGCCAGCCCCTCCCCCGCCGCGAGCGGAGCGCGGGAAGCTGCAGAGTGAGAGCGGAGGAGGAGGAGGAGGAGGAGGAGGGGGAGTGGAGGAGGGAGGGGAGGAGGAGGAGGGGGAGGAGGAGGAGGAGGAGGAGGAGGAGGAAGGATTACCGCATCCTCCCTTCCTCCTCCTCCGCCTCCGCCGTTTCCTCCTCCTCCTCTCCTCCTCCTCCTCCTTCTCCTCCTCCTCTCCGTAGCCATTTTGGCTCAAGATGCCCGCACTCGGGGGCTCCGCGCCTCCGTGCCAAAATCTGAGCTGCCAGAGCAGCATTGTGCACTCGGTGATTTCGGGAGAATCGCACCGCCCAGCTGCCAGCGCAGTTGGGATTAGAGCTCCCTATCGTTCAGTCACGCAGTCATGGCGCCGCGCCCATTCTCCTGGTGCACCTGCGGCAACTGGACCTACAACTTCCGCCTGCTGCACAACGGCGGGATGTGCGGCAAGTGTGGAGCGCAGGTCACACTATTCCAGCCTGACGCTGCAGCGGCGAAAGGCAAAGGCAAAGGTAAGAAAGGCAGCCAGAGCTACAAGGGCGGCAACGGCGAGGCCAAGTCGGCTTGGAACAACGGTGGAGGCAAAGGCACGTACCCGTGGTCCAAGGAGCCCGACGTCTCGAAGATGCTCAACATCCTCTCGAACGTTCCCGCCCTCGCGGCGCACGCCGACGTGTTCCGGCAGGCTGACACCTCCTTCAAGGCGAGCAAGGCGAAGCCGGTGTCGCCCAACCAGGAGGTGTACCGCTGCAGCCAGACGTTGGAGAAGAAGGAGATGGCGCTCCAGAAGGCCTCGGCAGACGTCGTCAAGCTGGAGACAGCTCTCCAGGAGGCCAAGCTGTGGCTGCACCAGACGGCGGAGGAGGCCCTCTCCGCAAAAAGGGCCCACACCTTGGCGGTCAAGGCCCTCGCGGACTCCACGGGCGCCGCCAAGATGCAGGACGGCTACACCGCGGACGGCAAGAAGATATACCTGGCGTTGGACGAGTTCGACTTCGCAGCCAGCGACGACTTCGACGACACCCAAAAGGCGCAGCTCCAGGCCATCCAGAAGCAGGTGGAGGAGCACTGCAAGCAGGTGGCGGACCTCCAGAAGACGATGCAGGAGGCGCTCAAGAGCGTCAAGGAGATCCGCGCAGCCCCAGCGAAACGGCAGCGTGGCCAGGACGGCGCTGTCCCTGGTCCTGGCGCAGCCGAAGCTGAGGGCCCTGACGAAGACCAGGCACCTGCAGCAGCGGAGGACGACTCCAGCTTCGCCGTCTCAGAGAGCGACATCGCCGCCAAGATCGCGAGCGCCAGGGAAGCCACGCTGGCCAACATGGGCGACTTCCCTCCCCTGGGCACTGGCAATGGTGCGAGGGGCTCTCGTGACGGTGCGCCCAGACCTGCAGCAGCGGCCGTGCAGCGAGGGTGACCTACTCAACGGTGTGGGAGGTGGCGGCCACTCGAGCCTGGGCGATACTTTTCAGCCGCCCCTCCCACTAGATGCGGCGAGTTGCGACACACGGGCCCCAGTTCCAGAGAACTACGACGCGACGTACTTTTCTCGAACATCTCGGAGTGGGGCCCGCAGGCGGAAGGATTCATGAAGGCCCAGGCTGAGCAGTACGACGTGATAGGCTTCGCGGAGATGCACCTGCGGGGCGTGAAGATCCTGGACTTCACAGAGAAGATCAGCAAGGACGGCTGGAAAGCCGCCGTCACAGCCGCAGCACCGTCGGGCCGATCGGCCGAGGGCACGACGGGCGGAGAGGCTATCATTTCCAAGCGTTCACTGGCCACGACGTCGTTCGAGGGGTGGCGCAAGCACGAGATTGAGCGTTCCGCAGTCGACCCCTTCCAAGGCTTCTGCCCCACGACGTGGCACACGAAGGCGGGCAACATAGTGGTCATCTCCGCGTACATGCAGCCGAAGCACGGCATGAAGGGCGCCAATGAGAAGATGATGATCAGGCTTGCCAGCTTCATCAACATGAT